GGGACAGAGTAAGGCACAGTTTCTGGTTGTGTTTAGCACCATGGATGTTTGATGAGGCAATTTGTGAAGACTCACTTAGAGAGCCCGAGGACTGTCACAGGCTATCAGGGGAAGCAGTGAGTCTATCAACACACTTCCCATTTAGAAGACTGCGATGGTGAGGTTGATGAGGTGGAAGTGCCTCCTCATCTGAAAGAGAACCGACACAGATGAGGTTCCCAGACTCCAGTGGTTGTGGAACGGGGAAATGGTTTTGGAAGGCTTCGATTTCAAAGACTGAACCTTCTTTGGAGGTGACAGTTCTGGTGTTGAGGAAGCATCGATGGATGGTTTTTAGAGGCTGTTTTCTATGTCAAGGATTTCGACGTCAAATATTTGGCTTTGTGCACTCACGTGACTGTCAATATCAAGGGCAGAGTATGTTATCGATGATTGGAATGAGATGGAGTAGCTGATGGGTGCTGATTTGTCGCTTTGGAAACAGCTTCATCCATGACTTTAGGGATTGCTCCCAGAGCCGAAGCTAGAGTCTAGAGAGGCAGCTGTGGAGAACGAGGAAGTTTGATGGCCTCACCAAGGAAAAACGGGCATTTAGGGAGGCCATCAGAAAGTGGGATCTCTTTATCGCAGGCTACGCAGCAATGCAGCTTTTAAATGGGCCTGAAAAGGCCATGAACCGAGAACCGGTTTTAAAAAGTAAACAACAGAAAGGTGGTGGGGGGGGAAGCTTCGGCCCTAAGGCTGGAGCGTATCTTGTTTTGAAAATAATAAGGATAATAATAATAAATAAAGTTCAATAATTTTCCTATTTTTGTTTTCAGATTTCTCACAGAAGCAACGATTTGAGGCTCTCAAAGCGGCAGTTGAAAGAAAGTGAAGGGAGAGCCTTGGCGCCAAGGTACATGTACCAGGGGGGAGGGGGGTCTATGCTAATGTATTTTCCTTTGCTACCGCAGAAGCTCTAGAATATTCCGACGAGGCTCCGCGCATGCGTGGACTACTGGTAGTGTGATTCACAGAGGCTACAAAGAAGAATGACAGGTTACCCACTTGCAACCATACGGAATTGTGTGATAATGATTTGTTTAATTCTCTTACATCTAAGATAGGGCGAAACACTCTACCTTTTTTGGGGATGGTGAAATTGCGCGAGAAAAACCATTGTTGAGAGATGGGTTATATGGTGTCTTTGAGAAGTAAATTTGTTATTTCTTCTTGCAGAGTTTGTGAAGGTGGAGTGATGATGTGAGTTGTCGGAGGGAGTTTGAAGAAATGGATGTGGTAGCCATTTTGGATGATGGATAATACCCAGGTATCCATGGTGATGGATTCTCAGGCAGGTAATTGTTTTCAGAGGGCAGGATGGGTGGGTTGGGTTGTGATCTCAGTCAAAGGAGCGTCAAACGTGATGTTTAGGTTTGCAGCCATTTCGCCTCATAGCAGGTTGTTGGTGAGGTTTGGTTCCCTGATTCCTGAAATAGGGTGTGTAAGATGTCTGTCTTGGAGGGTCACATTGGAACTTTTGGTAGGAGTTATAAGGTCACCTCCATTGATTTTGTTGAGGGCATAACAAAAGTGGACATATTGTCCCAAAGGAAGCGCTGGTAACCTACCATGGCTCCTTGATAGGTAGTGACTCACATGGTGAAAGCTGAAGAGGAGTAAAGCCATCTGCCCATGGAATCTATTCTCCGACTACCCTTGTTTGTTGATGTCGAGATCTCGATTGTGAGGCTTCAACGAATATAGAGTTTGAGCTGGTTGTTTCTGGAGGAAAATGACTCGTGGGTCATGGACTCTACAGAGATTATTGCTTCATTTCGACATTGTATGTGAGGAGGCTGGTTTCATCCAGGATCGTTCTGCAGTACTAAGTAAGGATGCCAACATTGATATGTGTACTGGAGTAGTTGTGTCTTTAGAGATTGGATTGTACAGATGATCGGCTGGTTCTGTTAATGAATTTGGAGGTCGAGGGACTTAGCCATATGGATCATAAGTTGGGCATAAGTCTGAAAATCTTCTGCTGACGGTGGTGGGTCGGCATCGACAATGTCAGATCCTGGTGATGTGAGTAATACTGGTGGAGTCTGTGATCGAGATCCGTGATCAGAAACTTCAAGGTCGCATCTGGAGTCAACGGACTGTCAGTTGACTTTGGTGTCAAGAGGCTGAACATCATAGTATTGGTGGTTATGACTCGATATATTTTGTCTGATGTACACTGCCCAGAATAGTTAAATGACAAGATGGGCGGGATATAGATATAAATATAACATACAAACAAATAAATAAATAAATAAAAATGGAGGCGGCATATTGATGGACATTTGCCGGTGTCGAGAGCCTTTGACATTGAGAGACGTTGGTTGAGTGTCAATGGACTTTGAACAGTATGGGTGGTCCTCAGTGTTGAACCCAGTATCATAATGGTATCGAGTTCGATGTTTAGGATTTACCGGAGGATGGAGATCCTGTGGAGGCAGGGGGATGGAGTGGGCATCCATGGACCAGGATGGATATCAAGGATCATCGATATCAGAGCCTGTGTCTCTGTGATGTCTAAACGGAGGTTGTTGATGCGGTGGAAGATGCTGGATGCTGGAGATGCCGATTTTGAGGAATGATTTCCATCATCTGGGTTGGTAGAGAAATAGCAGGAAGCTGGAGCTGAAAAAGCCTCGCGTGCTGAAGAATGCTGCTCGACCATTCTGGGTCTCTTAGGTGCCAGGTAGGGAGCAGATTGAGATCCATGACTGTTGTGGTGATGCAGCCATTTTGACACCGATGGTTGTCGAGAGTGAGGCTGGCTGCTAGATGGTACCATCGAACAGGGCAAAGTGCCTGGTCGACTGGCAGGTGCAGTTTGTCTGAGAGAGCCCTGGTTGTGGCAAATGGCAACCCGACGAGCGTGCTGAACATAGGTGTGAGCTGCACGGGACGGAGCAGTCGGCTCGTGAGGTTGTTGTTGCTGATGTGTCTACATAGGGATTGGTGGGCGATCTGACGGCACCAAATAGGGAACGGTGTCAAGTTGTACGGAATTGACTCCTTCAGGCGAAGCAACAATAGAGAGGTTGCTCGAGGGAATAGAGTGTTGCGGACTGGCGGAAAAGGATGTTAGCCCGTCGACTCTGTCATCCCATTCTGGAGGCTGAGAACAAGGTTGATGAGATGGTAATCCATCATCATCAGAAGGAGAACCAACAGAAATGGACTCAGACAGTTGTTTAGGTTGTTGTAGGATTGGTGGGCGATCTGACGGCACCAAATAGGGAACGGTGTCAAGTTGTACGGAATTGACTCCTTCAGGCGAAGCAAAAATAGAGAGGTTGCTCAAGGGAATAGAGTGTTGCGGACTGGGGGAAAAGGATGTTAGATCTGGAGACTGAGGACAAGGTTGATGAGAAGGTAATCCATCATCATCAGAAGGAGAACCAACAGAAATTGACTCAGGCAGTTGTTAAGGTTGTTGTATGACTGTAGGCTTGGATTTATGGTGTTTGCTCCTTTTAGGTGGAGAAGGCTCCAGAGCCGAAGAGGCTTCAGTAGACATTGCTTAGTGGAAGCTTTCGATGCTGAGGACTTAAATATTGAGGGCTTTCAAACTTTTGCGCTTTGGAGGTTCTTGACGATGTGGATGGAGCGTCGGAATGAGATGGTGCGGCCGATTATGGTATGGTGTTTGCTCCTTTTAGGTGGAGAAGGCTCCGGAGCTGAAGAGGCTTCGGTAGACATCGCTTAGTGGAAGCTTTCGAAGCTGAGGACTTCAATATTGAGGGCTTTCAAACTTTTGCACTTTGGAGGTTCTTGACGATGTGGATGGAGCGTCAGAATGAGATGGTGTGGCCGATGGACGTTGTTTGGACGCTTTGAAAACACCTTTTTTCATTGCTTTGGTTTGAGAAGTGGCCTTACAGGGAGGCTGGGCCATTTTTAGCCAGTTGAAGGGATTGCTCCCAAAGACGGAGTTTCAGACTAGACAGGCGGGACTGAAGGACTCCGAGCTTGAAGTTTTTACAATGGGCGCAGGAGGAAGTTTAGTGTGCTTCTCCCAAACAAAAGAGGCACTTGGTGTGGCTGTCAGAGAGTGGCATTTTATTATTGCAGACCACACAGTGCTTAAATGGGCCCAAAGGGGCCATGAATATGTGGAAAAACTGATTTTTTAAAAAAGGAGGGATGGGAGGGTGCCATGGCCAAAAGGCCAAGCATAGAGAAGAAGAAAAAACTAATAATAGTATTTAACTTGATGTATTTTCTTAAAGGTAAGTGGTAAAAATAAAAACATGAATCGAGATTAAACTCTCCTTCACTTATACTCACAGAAGCAGAAAAAGCATGAGGCCCTCAACGCGGCGGTTGAAAGAAACTGAAAGGAGAGGCTTGGCACCAACGTACTTCCATGGGGGCAGGGGCTTATTCTAATGTGTTTTTTGCTACCACAGAAGCTCTAGAATCTTCCGGTGAGTCTCCGCACAGGCGTGGATCACCCACGGTGTGATTCACAGAGGCCACGAAGAAGAACTACGTTATATTCTAAGTGTGGAGGAAAGAGTGCAGATCATGGAATATATCTTAAGGAGAAAATGAGAACTTAACCTCAAATGGCGTGAACCTTGCTCTTGTTCTCAATGCTGGGCTGTTGAAGGAACTTTTGACAGTGTCTCCATTTTTCCATTACAGTTGAATAAGTTGTAGCAGTCTCAGGTGCGGCAGGATTTTTTAAAAAACAATTTAAACCCACTTTTGCCATTGAAATAAAATTCCATCTTCCATTTAATCATTTATTAGTATTATAATAATTAAATTATAATAACTTTCCATTTAAGAAATTTTTGTCACACCTATCAAGTAAAAAAAAAAACGATCCAAGTCCTTTTTTAAACTTGATTCATTTGTTCATTTTTTTTTCAAACAGGCCCCCCCAACAGTCTGAGGAACAATGAACTGGCCCACTGTTTAAAAAGTTTGAGGACCCCTGGTGCATGTGAATCCCAGTTTCTCACACACTGACCTCAGTCAGCTCCACATTGGCCGGGTCTCCCTGGATGCTGCCATCTGGCTGCTTATACCCAGCATAGCGGATGAGCTGTGAGTTCCAGACTCGGAAGTCATGTTTGCCATCTGTCCTCTGGGGGAAAATAGTGATGGCAGACCTAGGACAGAAGAAGAAAAGGGCTGGCATTATCAGTCCTTAGGCAAAGAGTCCGTAGAACCAGATTAAATTGGAACTTTGGACTGCTAGAGGTATTGTAGTGCAGCGGTTCAGAACATTGGACTGGAATTTGTGAGATCCAGTTTCTACTCCTAAACAGCCATGAAATTCGCTAGGTGATCTGAGACATCTGTTTCTCTCAACTTGTTGTGAGGATAAAGTGGGGAGAACAAGGGACATGTGCACTGCCTTCAAGCTCATTGGAGGATAGATATAAGTGTAACCAACAAGCCAACAAACAATGGAAACATATAGCAGGAATCCGTTGGGGCCACAGACCTTTCAGTGCTTTAGGTGTCCGGCTGCAGAACCAGAGGCTGGAAGTTTGATTCCCCACTGTGCCTCCTTGACAGGGGCTGGGCTCAACGATCCATAGGGTCTCTTCCAGCTCTGTGGTTCTAAGCTGACGACGATTACATGCACTCTGCAGAGCTGTAGAGGGGAATCATTCTCTGCACTGTTGCATTACTGAGGTATGACAATAGCGTTTGGTCAACACCCACCCTCCTCTTATGGATCTGGCTCTGAAAGAACTGATCAATCTATATCTCACTGTAATGTATGCAGATGTGGGGCTATAACAACAAGGGAAAAACCAATTCCTCCCCATAGGAAAGAGATAGGGAGCTTAAATTACCCTCCCTCACATCCTAGCTTTCTATGTACAGGAATAACAATAACAATAATTAGTAGCAGAAGCACTAAAGAAAATGGTGATGGTGGACCAGGGCAGTATAGTAGTTAGAGCAGTAGATCAGGTCTTGGGAGAGCCAAATTTAAAGTTTTCACCGAGCGTGGTGATGGTGGACCAGGGCAGTATAGTAGATAGAGCAATAAACTGGGTTTTGGGAGAGCCAAATTTAAAAAGTTTTCACCGAGCCATGCAATCAATGGGTGAATTATGGACAACTGCTTCCTTCTCAGCCTGCCTTCCCTCACAGCGTTCTTATTGTGAGCACAAAGTAGAAAGGAGACGTAAGCTTACCACCTGGAGTTCACGGCAGAGAAACGGGTTTTAAATGTAACTAACAAATACATGACAAAGTGACCCATCTATTCAGGTGGACCTGCGCCTACTGTGTGAAGAAATACAGCCCATTCACAGGATTGTCCTCTCTGTGAGAACCATTCCTGATATTGTCTGCCTGATATTGTTTAACTTGGTTTCAGATTCCAAATCAGTGCTGTGCCAACATTTCTGGTCTTTTTTTTTTCTTTTAGTCACTCCTCGAGTTGGAGTTGTGGGGCAGGGAGAAGTTGCCCACAAAAGAAAGTAGCACATGTGGGAACTTCAACGAGATCTTTAGGTGTATTTGCACAACACAGTTATTTCAGTTCGACACCTCTTCAACTGTTGTAAGGCAATCAGAAATCTCTGTTAGGGATTCTCTATCGAGGCACTTAGAACTCTGCAGCAGAGTATTCCTGACTGCCTGACTGCTCAGGGTTTGGCAAGATAGAACCATGATAGTTAAAAGTGGTATCTAACTGATAAAACTGTAGTAAAAGGAGACCTTCCAAACTGGGGAGAAGGATTCTAATTTTCTTGTCTTAATGTCATGAGACAGCCAAGCAGAATATGGCCTTCTTCTAATTTTTTCTTATGGGCTTGTTTGCTAATGCAGTGCTTCACAATCTCTGGTACAAGAGGCTGCCTGCGGGGCAAAAAAAAGAGCACTGGAAGATCTTCAAAAATTCAGAAGTTACAACAATAAGGGTAAAAAGGAAGAACACATGCAATTTGTTCATATCGTAATCTTATTCTCAGGTAAAACTGATGGTGCCGTTCTAAGGGATCACAACCTACGCAGTTGTCCAGGCCTGAATTTGCAGGGAGTCTTGAACCCGAGGTTTGATGGGTGCCAAGCAAGGATTCCGTCTAGGCATTACTGCTCTCACACGAGATCAATCAGGGACAAGCAAGGAAGGATATTTAACAATATACTAGAACTGGCCATGTGGTCCTTATCCCAGAAAAGTTCCTGGGAAAGCTCCAAACTTGCTCCCTGGTTTGAACACAAAGGGCTCTGGCCCTTCAGATGCTGCTGGCCTACAATTCCCTTCCCTGAGGACTACCAGCCACATTAGCTGAAGCTGATGGGAGTGAGAGCCCAACAACATTCAGATAGCCACTGTTTTCCCAAGCCAGGCTTGTCTTCGCCACCTACCTAAGGTTTCCTTTGTTTGTGGCATACTTTATATGATTACAAATGTAGTTGAACATCCCATGGGCAGTTGTGCAGTCCCGGGCATCAAATACCTGAAATAATTCAAATGAGAAAAATTTCAGGAGGAAAGCAATAGTGTAGAGAAACTATGTCTTTATAAGGAAAGGTTGATGGAACTGAATATGTTTAGCCTGGAGAACAAAAGTCAGAGGACGAAAAAGAATACCTTTCAAATCCAGGGGAGGCTATCACTCAGACTACAGTGGTGCCTCGCTTTACGATTGCCCCGCATTACGACAAAACCGCATTATGACAATCTTTTTGCAATCGCAATTGCGATTGCAAAACGATGGTCTAAATGGGTTTTTCGCTTTGCAATGATCGGTTCCCTGCTTTGGGAACTGATTCTTCGCAAACCAACGATTTTAAAACAGCTGATTGGCGGTTTCAAAATGGCCGCTGGGTAAACAAAATGGCTCCCCCGCTGTTTTCTGGGATGGATTCCTCACAAGATAGGCAGCGAAAACGGCTGCCCTATGGAGGATCTTCGCTGGACAGTGAGTTTCAATGCGTTTCAATGGGGTTTTTTCGCTTTATGATGTTTTCACTTAACGCGTTTTTCCTGGAACGGATTATCACCATTAAGGGAGGTACCACTGTAGTTCTGTTGTTCCAGAGAGCAGGATTAGCTTTAAAGAGTTTTAGTTACATAAGGGTAACTAAAACCCCAGGAGACAGGTCTTAACAGTGAGAAGAGTTTGGCAACAGAAGCCAATATCTGGACATCTTCTTCTTCGTTAGGAACCCAGACAACCATTGGTTATGGATTCTCCAGATACAGATTTGCTGAACCATGTACAGTGGTGCCTCGCAAGACGATGTTAATTCGTTCCACGAAAATCGCTGTTAAGCGAAAACATTGTCTTGCGAAACACGTTTTCCCATTGAAATGCACTGAAAACCTGATAATCCATTCCAATGGGAACAGACTGTCAATATAAAGCGAAAATTGCCATAAGAAACATCGTTAAGCGAAATGCGGTTCCCAAGCGAAGACAGATGTCTAACGAAACAGAGACCATTAAAAGACTCTTATAGCGAAGCCAGACCAAGCTGTCAAAAACATCGTAAAGCGAAAAACAGGGACCTAAAATTTAACCGTCTTGCGAGGCAAGGTCCCTAACATCGTAAAGCGAAAATTGCCATAGAAAACATCGTCAAGCGAAATGCGGCTCCCAAGCGAAGACAGCTAACGAAACAGAGACCATTAAAAGACTCTTATAGCGAAGCCAGACCAAGCTGTCAAAAACATCGTAAAGCGAAAAACAGGGACCTAAAATTTAACCGTCTTGCGAGGCAAGGTCCCTAACATCGTAAAGCGAAAATCACCCATAAGAAACATCGTTAAACGAAGCGCAAGATTCCTCCGAAAACCTCACTGTAAAGTGAATTTGTCGTTATGCGAAGCAATAGTCTTGTGAGGCACCACTGTATAGGGTTATGTTGGATGTCCTCTAATGTCCCCTTTAACTCCCCAGTATTATTATTTTATGGGACATAGTGAGAATAATTTTCTCTCTAATTGCATCAGGGCAGCTGAAACTTAAAAAACAGGTTCTGCAAGTACAGTTGTTTTGCTGTGTATAACTGAATAATAGTTTAAAACAGCTGTAACTTTCTAAGAATGATGGCAGATATACTTCTGGAAACAGAAAACAAGCTGTTTTCAAAAGTGCTCTGAAAATAAATGAGCTGAGTGGGTATTTTGGCTCCAGGGTTGCCTCCAGATTTGAAGGGAACTTTGGCCGAAGTGCTCTCTGTTGGAGACCTCAAACCATTAATAGCTACCATTGTAAATCTCCCACCATGTTTTAAAGCAGCATAGCAAACCTCTAGCTGGGTGGCTAAACAGAGCCCATGACAGATCCTCAGCCTGTAGTTTTGAATCAAGCTAGTTCTATATGAGCTTCTGCAAATGCTCTGGGAGAACCAACATCCTTCCAAACTAGCAGCCTCCCAGCCTTGTATCAGTTTGCCAGCAAACACAATTTTCCCCACATGTATCTTCTGGTACAGGCCCCCAGCAGCTGCGACCAGGGCAGCTGCTTCCACACCTGTAGCTTGGACCATTGAATCCTGCCCACACAGCGGGAGGCATTGCGCCAGGCATGCTTGGCTCCGTAGATCAGCTCAGTATCCCGCAGCTGGTAGGTGCCGGTGGCTTCAATCTCCTTGGTTACTTCCTCCAGCCTCTCCATGTGGGCCTTGGAGCCAAACCTGCCAGTTTGGAGAAAGAAGCCAGCAACTGTCAATTATTAAGCTTCATGGCAGTACAAAAACATATAACCCCTAACCCTGATTTCAACATGCACATATGCACTATAAGATCTGGAACCCATCATCTGAGGGTCAAATCGGACAGTATGATTAGCACAAATTTAGAGGAACTGCTCCCCCGAAATAGTGAAAGAGGACAGCCATGTAAAACTTGACAAGACTTGAATCCTACCAATCTGCATGGGTTTGTGCATGGCATAAGATTTCCGTTTATTTTCTGTTTGGAAGATGCTTCTTCTGTTTTCCGCTCTTCCGTGGACCACTTACTCCATTTACACTGAAAGGGCATGTCTCTGACCTTCAGTTTGTTGCCCCCCAGAGGTAAAACAGCAGGGCTGGCTGGGCAAGAGGACACACATGGTGGGAGGGGGGAGTAGAGCAGCAAAGCTGGTGGGGAAAGGGCAAATGGTGGCAGCTGCAGCATCTTGGCAAGGAGAGAGAGAGAGAGGAGGGAACAGGGGAGGCAGGCAGGCGACTGGAATGTCAAATGCAAGGCAATTTTACATATTTGAACGAAGGCGATGAATGAGGAAAACACAGACAAACACAGATTATCTGCATCCCTTTAAGTCAACCAGACCATTAGAATTTCTGAGGGTCTCTTCTAGAAAGAAACAGATGAAGACCAAAAAAAAGAAAGAAAGAAAGAAAGAAAGAAACAAAGAAAGAAAGAAAGAAAGAAAGAAAGAAAGAAAGAAAAAGAAACTCCTCCCCCATGTTTGTCATCCTGAGCAGGAAGTCCCATTCCCAAGTGCAAGTTTTATGTTCCAGTGATAGAAAACATAGTTTTGTTTCCGGAAACCTAGATAAGATTCTACGGCAGACTTCTCCTTGCTCTGTCAATGGAGCTCTGGACTGTTCATGCACATGACTTGCCTTTTGATGGAGGAATAATACTGGTCAATGAATTCTTTTGCCAGTGGGAGTAGCTGCTCCTTTGTCCGGACTTCTTCTGGTTTTCGGACATGCTGGGAAGGGATCATGATGGAACCCATGCAGACCTGCTCACTGCAGGGGGTCACCTGAAAGGTACAAGTCAGAGGAGCTCATGGCATCGATCTTGGTTATTTGCAGTGTCTGTTGTAAGAAACCATTGGAATCTGCAGATACTGGTGGTGCCAGTAAATTGTCAGGGGGCCAAGCTATCCTTTGGCAGAGCGGAGATTGCACAGATCTGACTACTGATGATTTATTCACCAAGCAAGCAATTAATGAAATAAGAGCCAAAATGTAAAATGTACTTGAAATATATATAAAAATTACACAAGTGTATATTGTAAAAATCACAGTTCTCTAACACAAAGCTTTCTAGTTCATATATGCAGATTGCATTTCTTCTATATAAAAGAGAAATTTTGGTTCTAATAAAGTATGAATGTCTGTTTAAACAGCATAAAGCTTAAGTTCAGTAATTCTAAGGATACAAGAAAAAAACTATTTTCCTTCAGTAAAAGGCTGTTTTCTTAGCAAAAAGCTATCAATGAGATAAAACTCTCGTATAGTCACTTAAAAACCTCTACTGCATTTTATAAAAACAAACTGAGCATAGTATAAGCATAGTAAATAATGCACATTGCATTAGATAATTCTTACCCAATTTCTAGCAGAGATTTCTCCCATTTGCAAAAACAGATTTCTGTATCTCTTGGGAGATGGTCCATAAACATGACACAAATCTCTGTTTATATACTTCAGATGTTTTGATGTAGTCAAATCATTGTGACATAAAACTTATCCTGTGGATAACTGGTGTCCTAGGGTACTGACCAGCTAGGCCAGCTGAGCTGTACATGGTCCCCACCTTTCGAGTAACTTCTTTAGCATCATATTTGGGCAGTAAAATACATTTTGAATGTTGATTACATGCTTTTTACATTTTCTGTGTTGCTCATTTAAAACCTCTTTATTTTTTCCTGCCACATATTTTTTCCAAAACTTATAATTATGTATCATCTAACTCAGTGGTCAGGGAACAGGGGTAAATTACGCCAAATGGGGTAAAAATGAAAATCCTGGGGGTAATGGGGATGGTCGCTGCAGGCATTTTACCCCCAGGCATTTTATTTCCGAGGATGCTGTGTGTAGGTAGGCATTCCGTCGCGCGGAGAGCGAGCCCCGGCGAGGAACTGCACAGGGCACCTGCCTGTCCTCCTCACCTCCAAAGTGGGGGTGGGGGAGGCAGTGGACCAGGCCAGCTGGACTCTTTGTCCGGCGGAGCCCTGGCTGGGGCTCTCCTGCCTGCCTGCGCCCACCTGCCTGGTGCACTGTCAAGGAGGCCCGCTTCCCACCCCGCCTCCCCTGAGCTCATGGCCAGTGGTCCTGCTGGCCCTGCGGTGCCCGCCTCCCCTCCCCAAGGACACGCTTTCCCAGCGGTGTGGCAGCTCCAGACTGGCTGCCTGGATGGTGGCCACAGGTCCTGGGTGAGCGCAGGAGGGCAGGGGTCGGCTGTGGACGGCAAGAGCCGGGGGTGTGTGTAATGTCAACGTAAATAATTTTTTTTGGAGGGGGGTAAAAGGTAAAAAAGTTCCTGACCCCTGATCTAACTGTAAGTATTCCCAAATGTGGCTGCATCTTAGATTTGTACAAAGGCAATAAGATACTGACATTTTTATTTCCAACTCTTTTCTTAATTACACTTTCTACGTACACTGCAGCTACACGCTGGATTGACATCTTTTAATTGCTATCCATTTTATTTCCATTTAAAAAAACATATATGTGGACTCCAAAGTTTTCTTTCAAGCCACATATAGTTTTGGCCATACATTTTAAAGTTTGTTCATGTATTGTCTCATCTTTACTGGTGTATCACCCACACGTGGCACAAGTGCACATGTGAATATTAATTAAAAATGTGGAAAAGCCTTCTTGATAATGACATCAATAAGGTTGTTAGCAACATATTTTTGTGTGTAATGCTTTTTTCCAGGAGCATACATGCTTTCAGCAAAACACGGCACAAAGAGAACCTCCATACATATCATACAGACATGTGTCCTGAAACTAGTGTTTTGCAGGGTTGTTGTTAAATGCTGTGAAGTCAGAACTCATTTATAGTGAACCTAATACAGCTTTGAAGGTAAATAAGATATTTAAGAAGTGATGACTTCCACACATCCAGTGAAGGCTTGATCAGCCAGCATTTGTTCCACTGTTTGGTGTGCTATGGAGGTGGGTTGGTTCACTCTTTTTTCCATCAGGCCACCTGATTGCTAGAGTGAACCAATCTATCCCAGAGTGCCCCTCCTGAACCCTTTTTTGTGCCTCTACTTTTTTGGTGTGGGTAAGTCCACTCTAATTTGGTCCATTTCATGCACGCAATCACAGGGAACAGACCAAAAGTGAGCCTTGCAGCTGCTAAGGCTCCATCCACTGTCAATTTCCAGAATCGTGAAGTGGCTTAATAAATGACTCACTTCAGGATGTCAGCAAATTTAACATTTTCCCTGTTCCTCTATGGTTGGGCAGGGGAAGCGAAATTATTCTTATCATTGCCTCCGCTGGACCATCAATGTACTTAGATTTTTTTTTATTTGTCTCTGCATGAAGTGCTGATTGAAACCATGGTTGCAGGCAGTTTCTTGATTGGCACTACAAGCAAGCTAAAGAAAATATCTTAAAATTTTAATCTAAGTGATTCAATGCATCAATGATGGTTTAGCAGAGGCAAAAAAAATATTCACTTCCCCATCCCTCTATAGGAGAAAAGTTAAAATTGCTGCATGACCTTGAGCTAGTTGTTGTCTTTCAACTTGATCTACCTCTGAAGACTGCTGTGAAAATAAAGTGGGAAGGATCCTTCAGCTTACTGAAGAAAAAGTGAAATATATTATGGGTCATCAGGTCACTTTTAATTTAAGGAAAACCTATGAATTAATGGTCTTCAAAAGATCCCTTCATTAGCAGCCCTGATCTTGCAGACTAGAGGCTGTGGCTTCTTTTATTGAGACAATCAACCTCATGTCTGGTGTTCTTCTTTTCCTACAGCTTTCTATTTTTCATAGTCTTAGCATATTTTTCCAAACAGTTGAGTCATATTATGATATGTCTGAAGGACAATAATCTCAATTTAGTGATTTTTTTTTCTGATAGGAAATCAACATTTATTTGCTCTAGAATTTTTTCCCGGAGTTGGGTCAAATTCATGTTGGTAGTTTTGATGACACCATCCAACCATCTCATCCTCGGTCGTCCCCTTCTCCTCTTGCCTTCACACTTTCCCAACATCAGGGTCTTTTCCAGGGAGTCCTCTCTTCTCATGAGATGGCCAAAGTACTGGAGCCTCAGCTTCAGGATCTGTCCTTCCAGTGAGCACTCAGGGTTGGTTTCCTTCAAAATGGATAGGTTTGTTCTCCTTGCAGTCCAGGGGACTCTCAAGAGCCTCCTCCAGCACCACAATTCAAAAGCATCAATTCTTCAGCGGTCAGCCTTCCTCAAGATCGAGCTCTCACTTCCATACATCACTACAGGGAAAACCATAGCTTTGACTATGCAGACCTTTGTCAGCAAGGTGATGTCTCTGCTTTTTAAGATGCTGTTTAGGTTTGTCATCGCTTTCCTCCCAAGAAGCAGGCATCTTTGAAGGTACCACTGCCCATGTAGGGCCAATCTAAAACATTCTGCTCCTGAGGTGGATAAAACAATTATCTTCCCTGAGGAAAGACGCATAATAACTAAGATTGATCAAGTTACTTTGAAACTTGAAGCTGGAAAATCCCACAAGCACCTCTGTCCTGTTTCATGATATTGAAGTTCAGCTACCTATAGCATTACCCGAATGAGAAACCTACGTCTGATATAACTGTCACCAAAGCCTTCCTTCCCCCTGAGATAGAGTCGCAGTTGTGCTGCCATTGCCCCCATCTCTGCCCCCACCCCACCCTGGCCCTGAACCCGGTTCAAATCCCAGCTGCTGCGACAGGGGATCTTACTGCTTGTCATTGTTACTGCCATCTAGCCAGTCGCCCTCCTTTGCAAAAGTGCCAACTGACTCCACTTGAAAATATGCCGGCTGTGACGAATGGTTAGCACTGTTGCCAAGAAGGGCAGGCAGACCGTGTTGACAAGAAGCTGCCAGAGGCATGTGAGAGAGAAAAAGCAAATGCAAGGATAGAGGAAGGGGTCAAGATGAGGTGGGAGTAGGCTGGCAATTTCTCAGTGGCAGACGTACATGTAAAGGAACATTTATGAATGGAGCTGTAAGCTGGGTGGCCTACGTCTGTGGTCCCCAACCTTGGGCCTCCAGATGTTCTTGGACTATAACTCCCAGAAGCCTTCACCACCGCCTCTGCTGGCCAGGATTTCTGGGAGTTGAAGTCCAAGAACATTTGGAGGCCCAAGGTTGGGGACCACTGGCTGGAGAGATTCTGCTTCTATAGATTGTGTGTATGTGTGTGTCTGCAAGAAAGAACAATTAAGAAAGAGGTGTATTGGAGCTGGGTTTGGGTTTAAAAGGATGTTGTGTATTATGAGAGTTTGAATGAAAGTGTGGTCTTGTAGTACTGGTGTTAAAGGAAGTATAATTATTTTATAATTTATATGTAGAAAAAAGGAATAAAAATGGTTTAAATAAAAATGTTAAAAGCAAAGGTTTACAGTTGTATACTGAAGAAACTAGCAATTTGAAATATTTTTCCTGCATATTAATATTCCTTGTTCATGGTCCTTTTTTAATCCTTTGTGGGTTTTTCCCCAAATAAAGCTCTTTTTAGTTTATAATCTCTGCTCTCTATTTTATAAACAGCAGTCATTAAATATAAAAACCCATGTTGGCTAGCTCAGTGGTTTGGCTACAGAGCCAGAGGCTTGAAGTTCAGTTCTTCACTCTCCCTCCTGGAAGACGAGCCAGCCTTGGTGGCCTTGGGCAAATGGCACAGTCCCAGAGTATCCCCAGAAGAAGGGAAAACCTCTTCTGAGTATGCTGTACCTAGAAAATCCTGGAAAGGGTCGCTATAAGTCAGAATCAATTTGATAGCATACAACTACAGTGGTGCCTCGCAAGACAAAAGTAATTCGTTCTGTGAGTAGTGCTGTCTTGCGAAAAATATTCAGCGCAAGACAAAAGTAATTCGTTCTGCGAGTAGCGCTGTCTTGCGAAAAACATTCAGTGCATTCCTATGGGAACCTCGCAAGACGAAAATAATTCATTTGTCTTGCGAGGCACCGGTCTTGTGAAAAACATTCGTCTTGCGAAGCACGGCCATACAAGAAGCTGTCTTGGGAGGCACAATAGCAATTGCAAAAACCATTCGTCTTGCAGATTTTTCGTCCCACGAGGTGTTCGTTTTACAAGGCACCACTGTATTATTATAATACTTATCAGTGCTAAAATATATGGTTTGTATAGTATCATCAAAGTAGGTAAGGCTGCATTTCACCAAAAAAACACTCTTACTTTCAAATAGGTAGTGTGAAATAAGTACTTAACTTTGTCAAGATTATAGCACCAGTGTACAAGGGAACATTGTCTTTGTGAAGGAGATAATCCAAGAGATCAAGTCAGGTTTCAATGGCAATCCTATACTTGGTGCAAAAATATGGAGGTAGTCGTGTTTTGTCATACACACAGAGAGAAGATAAAGCAGCATATCCCAGCTCTCCCAGAATCCTACCCTCTTAGGTGATCCCATTAATCTACATAATGGTAAGGCTGGCTCTAATCTTGCAAAACATGTCTGAAGAAATGGCTCCATCCTGCATCTCACTCACCATGGTACTTTTCAGATGCAAAGTGTCGTTGAGCACAGAGCCAGTCTCCCAGTTTCTTACTTTGGCAAATCGTGGACACTTGGAAGGACTTCCATTCACCAAATTCTTGGTTGGTGATTGCTGACCTGAAGATGGCGGCTAGGTGAGTGGGGTGAAGGGGGGGGAAGAGAACACAGTTTTAGGCCATTAAATTCTAGCTGGTTGGAAAGAAGTGGATATGTACGACGGCATCTCCTAACCTCCAAACCTGGCACGGCATGCAAAGACAGAAGAATTTTCCTTCCACTTTTCCCAGGAAGAGCAGCTGTTCGGAAAAGGAGAGGGGTCGTTGTTGCTGGGAGTGGTGGGGGAGGAAAAGAGGAAAAGACTGGGGAGTTGAGGGGTGTGGTGCAAAGGCAAAAGGAACAACTCGAAGTTGCAATATGGCAGAGGCAGCAATAGCACTCCCATCGGCTATTATTACACCCTTTGTCAGAGGATTTCACGGCTTACCTATGCACGAAGCCACTAAGCACTTCTGAGAATCTTTCACTCTTTGGCTTCCTCTTGGCATCCTGAGGTGAGAAAGAAGGATCTCCCTCTCCATTTTCCCCATACATAGGATAATTTTAAATAAATCTGTCATGTCCCTCTTCTTGAGCTTGTAAACCCAAGGGTATCTATTTTTTTTTACTTCTTACATATTAAATTAAACTTAAGGTTTGGTGGAATCCTCATGTTTGCAGCACAGGGAAAACGACAATGCAGAGAAGCAACAAAAATAGCTCAATGAGGACTGGGTAGACAAGTAATGCCGGAAGTTTCTTTCTGATTTTGCCATAAGAGGAAGGAAGAATGAAACGGAGCATCCTATGAACGACTGCCACACTGCACAGGAGGGGCACGCCACTCGGCAGCATTCTGTTGCAGATTTCAGTTTTTCTAACTCCTATTAAAAACAAGCACCACTGTGGAAACTGAATTATTGCAAGGAATCCATGTCATTCTACTTCGTTATCTGCCAGGCCATATCTATGACTAGTAAAATCCTGAATGGCAAGAGAGCCAAATGGCATTTCCTCTTTTCTACCTTTGAACTTTGCAAGGAGGTGAATTGTATAATAGGCTCCCAAAACTCAGGAGCTGACCTCCCCTGCTACTCTGTTCATACTCTTCTCTGTAGTATCACCACCATTGTGTCTGCAGCACTTATTTTATGATATACCCTGTGTAATTTTCATAGTGTCATCTGAAAAACATCCTAGGTCTTCATTTCTGTGGTTCAGATCTTCGTATTCACTGTGCTAATAACTTTTATTAATCCTGGATTAGTAAGGGGAAGTATTTCTAATGCAAATGAGCTTTCTGGGGAAAAGGGGGGGGGAGAAATAAGAAAAAGAAAAGAAAAACAACAGAAAAAAAGGTTTTTGCGTTTCTGTTTCAAATTGAGACAAGAGGCACCTTATATGAAAATTAGCATGATCTCATAAACTTCACCGGAATATTTAGGGAAATATTTATGGAGGCACTGAAGAGGTCTGAGAACAAAGTGCGTTTAAAAATTAACAAAACATTTTTAGGTAGCTGTATTTATTATAGGAAAAAAACACAATTAAATGCTTTGTCTCACCTTTAAAGAATTAACAAGTTTATTTATTTCCTCCCTCCCTCCCTAAAACTTCTCCCACAGTGGTGCAAGTTGCAACGATGCTTCTAATGCGCTATGGGGACCATCCTCCCCTCCCTCAACACGTGGGTGAAAGGATGCTCTGTCACCGTATTCTAGAGGCATAGTTAGGAATGGGGGAATAGCTGAACCTCACTGTCTGTCTAGTAAAATAAAATCAAAAAGAGTGACTGAAAAAGTGACTTTTTGGATTTCAACTCACACAGTCTCCTAGCCAACATGATGCTAGGGAAATTCTAGGAGTTTTAATCCAAAAAACCAAAACCAAACCAAAACTATCATTATCATTTTCTCAAGCTCTATGTAAACAGCCCAATAAATCTCCTCAGGCAAGCTTTTTGTCAGTGACCGCCTGCCTAAGACTTGGGCTGTTATTTATTTATTTATTTATTTATTTATGCTTTATTATTTGCTTGCTACTCTCTTTCCTTCCAGTTTTTATATTTTATTTAAAATATGTTTACTCCACCTTTTTCCTAAAAATTGTGCAAGGAGGCTTATAGTACTAAAAACAAAATATTAAAACCTAAAAACAAAAAAATTATTACAATGTTGAAAAGAAATGAAACAATTATAGTATTAAGAATTATAATAAAATATTAAAAATATATACTAAAATCACATTAAAAACAACGGCCTTTATATTGTTTGTTTTTAACATTGTAAGCTGCCTTGGGTCTTCTTGAGATGAAAGGTGGGTTAGAAATATTTTAAATAAAAGTAATATATTTGAAGGTGATGGACCCAAATCCTCAAAAGCTCTTGGCAAACAAGCATCTTCTGTTTTCTTTCACTTTGTCTGGCAGCCCTCCAGCCTCTGTTTCTAAATCACCTACTTGGCCCTTCTCTGAAGAGATGTCGTTGTTCATGAGGGAAGAGGTGTCAGTTTTCTCACACTGATCACCAACGACTCGATCATTCTGCATTTCGGCTGGCAACACCTTCTGGTCTGCTTCTTGGAACCTGGAGACAAAAAGTTACAAAGTCATAACAACCCGTCAGTCAATCGGGGATTAATCATTCCCATGCCAAGTTTATCAAGCGGTCTGTAAGCTCCAAGCAAAGAAGAGATTTCACAGTTATGTTGCTCCTGGTCATTTTACAGCATTTTAGGACTTTGGTGCTGATTTGAACTGGTTTAAAGAGATCATCTCAGTATTTGCTTAGTATTTTATGCAAGAGGGTAATTATTGTGGAATGTACCACATTGTCCCAGCATGTCTGTTTACACACACTGCTCACTGGCTTCTGGCTGCTGATTCCTACTACCCTCTTCATTTGCCTATCGTTCCATCTCTTATTCTGCCTAGTTTAGCATCCTCCTCACACCTTGTTCCTCCCACTTGCATTCATCCATATTGTACTTCCATCACCACACTGCCGCCAAAACTTGCCATTTCTATCTATGTACATATTTCATAGCATCACAATATTCCCCCTTGAATTTTTTTCTTCCTTTTCCTGTTTTTTGTGCCCTAGCACTTGATCAGTATGTGAGTTCTTTTGTAAGCAACAAATGCTACCCACTTTTTTGCTAAATAATTCTCTAGTACTAATGCTAGATGGGTGGTAGCAATATACTTTGGGCTTGTCCATGTCAGCAGATGGAAAAAGAAAAATGAAAGTTTTTGATAGCTTGCAACACTGTAAGGTACATTAATGCCTTACAATGTTGCATGCTGTATGAAAACAAAACAGGAGCGAGTCTGCTTACCTGCAGAGAGATGGAGAGATGACAGGGGAAACACACCCACAAAGGAATGTCACCTCACGAGTCACAATGGAAGAAGACAGCACAACTCTGTATTATGTTCCGCATGAAATGGTAAAATCAAAGCAATGTGGAACAGAATACACCACAGGTTGTTGACAATATATTGCATTTGCACAAATCAGTTTGGACGATAACTTCCCAAATCCACTGCCGTTACTAGCCCCATCCCAAAATGTGAAGTCTCCAATTTTCAAATTACTTTCACAAAACACAATATGACCTCTCTGACCTTCCCTCTTCTGTATCAAGGAACTGCGGACCTCTGCTTTGAATCCGTGCGTAAAACTCACCTACTTTTAATGGAGTGGAAAGCCAGAAGGATCTCTATGCCTTAGCCTGCCATTACACCCAGCCAACGAGTAGTCCAGACAGGCGGGGTATAAATCAAATAAATCAAATAAATCAAATAAACAAACAAACAAACAAACAAACAAACAAACATTCTGTAGACTCAGTTTCCCCTAAGACTCTTAACACTTTTTTCAAACATGTGAGTTAACCTGTAGGCAAGAGTGAAGTGGAGTAAGCCACTAAGGAGGAGACATAGTCAGTAAATAGAGCTGATTAATTGCCGTGTGGTTGCAAAGGTAACATGATGGGAAATCCAACACAAATAAAGGTAAAAGTTCCCCTTGACCATTGTGTCCAGTCACCTCCAATTGTAGGGGCGGATGCTCATCCCCATTTGTAAGCCAAAGAGCCAGTGTTTGTCTGTAGACACTTTCTGTGCTCATGCGGTCAGCATAACTAGACAAGGAATGCCGTGACCTTCCCACCAAGGTAGTACCTATTCATCTACTCACATGTGGATGCTTTCGAACTGCCACCACAAGTACAAATCTTATAAATAATATCAGGAAATTAAAGTCCTTAAACTTGGAGATGGAGTGGAGCAGTATGCTCGCACGTTCCGCATCCAGAAATCACCAGATCTGAACACCAGTCATTATAAGAAGCTATAAGCAACTATAATGATTCCTGCTTCCCAATATCAAAACTTTCAATGAACTATGTTTGCTGTCCTGGAGAAAAATGATCAGCTACAAAGGGGCTGAAGGGTGGAGATCTTTTTAAAATTTCTCTTACTTTCTCCTTTTTCCAACCAAGCATTCATTCCATTCCACTTCTGTTTTTATTTGCATTTTTAAAAATCAGCACAGAAATCTATAGTGTATATTTATGGGCATTTCTATATTTTTATATGTACTTTTAACTAAATATATAGTTTTATAACCCTTTCCCCTAACGTTACATAAGTATGAATATTATTTGCACCAATATTTACATTACTTTCAACATACACATTTTTAACCTGGAGAAATGCATTGCAGAATTCAGAGAAATGCAAATTCGTAAGGGTAGTTCATACATTTGTTGGAAGTGCAAACTGGATAGGAACCAAATAGATTTTCCTCCCATTGATGATTAATCCCTTGTTAGATGCACTAAAGAATTATGCATTTCTAACTTTCTCTTGCATCAATACTTTGGGAGAAAGTATAAAACATTTTGGAATAGGGCAAAGCATTGTTGCTGATTATCCAACAACAGCAGTGGAAAATAAGAGGAAACAAAAAAGAGATATACTAGTTTTACATCAAATTGTACAAAGAAACTTTAACTATAGAAATATAACTAAATATGGTCTTAACTAGATATACCAGTGAAAGGCTTGTGAACTTCATTGCAGAAAGCCTGCAGGCTTTCTTTTCCAAAAAATGAATATTAAATCCTGATTATATGTTGACAAACAAACTATGTTTCAAAAAGAGCCTGAAACAAACTAAACATGTGTGTGTAAAATAATAAACGGCCCTGTAAACTCATTTAGGGATGAATGATATAAGAGGTTTGAAGTTTATTGCATTTTGTGAGTCTTCATCTTCCCAGGAAATCTAGGAAAATTCAGCATGTTGTTTTCTGTTACAGTGGGGTCTCTACTTAAGAACTTAATCCGTATTGGAAGGTGGTTCTCAAGTGGAAAAGTTCTTATGTAGAATCTGCATTTCCCATAGGAATGCATTGAAAACCATTTAATCTGTATCTGCTCTTTTCCGTCCATAGAAACTAATGGGAAGCTGCTATTCCGCCTTCTACCACTAGAGGGGGATATTTTTTTCTCTTTTTTCCCCTTAGGTCAGGGAACAGTGTTAAAAGCACTTCTGACGAAGCTAATTTTGAAGCAATGGACTGAAAACCAATTAATCTGTTCTGGCTGTTTTTTTTGTTATGTAGAGGTGCGTTCGTACATTGAAGCATTAGTTCCCATAGGAACTAATGCAAAGCTGGTTAATACGTACTCTACCACTAGGGGGAGAACTTTTTTTTAACCTAAGATGACCTAAGGTTAAAAAAAGAGCAGGAAAGTTTTTTTTCCTGTTCTTATCTTGGATTTTTGTTCTCAAGTAGAAGCAAAATTTAGCAAATGGAGCTGTTCTTAAGTGGAATTGTTCTTAAGTAGGGACGTTCTTAAGTAGAGATCCCACTGTACTTCTTCCGAAATACTTCTTAAGGCAGCTTGCAAACAATGGCTTCCCCTGCCTGTCACTTTTGGTAACAGCAAGACAGATTAAAAGACATATACAGTGATACCTCGCTAGATGACGACCCTGCTGTACGACGAATCTGCAGGACGTTGACTTTTTGCGATCACTATAGTGATTCACAAAACAGTCATTCCTATGGGGAAATTCCGCTGGATGTCGATTAGGTCCGTGCTTCGCGAACTGTTTGTTCGCAAGATGACGATTTTTCCAGCTCTGCAAAATGGCTGCTCTGTGTTTTCCGGACCCATGCTTCGCAGGGCAGCCATTTTACCAGCTGATCGGTGCTCGGAAAATGTCTTCCCCATGGGTGATCTTTGCTGGACGACAAGGTAATTTCCCCATTGGAACACATTAAATTAGTTTCAATGCATTCCAACGGGGAAAGGCTTTTCGCATGACGACGATTTCGCTTAACAGCGATTTTCCTGGAACAGATTATCGTCGTCATGCGGGGCACCACTAGAAGTTTTGAAAGTTTGCCCAGCAAACTTTGAGTCTTTGAATTTGGTGAAATAAATTGTGACATTCTCAACTCTGTTTATGGATCTCCTGCCGCTACTACTCAACAGATCCTCAGTATGCACCTTCATACCGTTTCTTTCACTCAGGATTCATGGGCCCTTTCTCCAGACTCTACTTCACTTTAGCCTTTTGTTAGGACTCCACCACTGGGTCCTAAACCAGAAGCCTTTCAACAGTTACATTTTCCTTCTTTCCCCCTTTTTCTGACTATGGACGAACAGTCAACATGGCTGCTACTCCATGACAGCAGCGACACGAATCGCTGGCGTTACAAAACAAAATGTATTTTAAATTTTTTTACAATAAGACAAAATAACAAGGAATGTAGTAATTAAAAATAACAACAGCTTATAGGTGGTTCATTCAACCCGTCTTTTCACAGCTTAAGAAACTCCACTTCTGCCTCTTTATTCATCTCACACAAGGAGTTAGATCAATTTTGGGCTGTGCTTTTGGAGTGGTCCTGGGCAACCTATTTCACAGAAAGCACAGGGAAATGTGTTCCAGTCCAACCCTAGACTCCTGTCAGACACAGGATCACTTTAAGGGAGGTCACTCCTATGCAAGCCACCCCTTCCAGGCCTCTTTCCACAGATCAGGTGTGCGCCTTTGCCGCTCTCTACAAAATCACATCCCCAGTCACACTTTACTCCTCACTGTTCTCATCGATTATGGCTCATATACTCTCTTCTCTATATCTAATCCTTACCTAAACCTAATCTGAAGAAACGTCAAAAGCCTATTCTTGTGTCAAATTCACAATCCTAAATATCTTCCACTATTTTATTCTCTCTCTCTCTCTCATTTATAGGCTATCCTTCTCCTAATGAGGGGATTCAAGGCAGCTCAGTGTTAAATTTTAACTAACTGACATCCATAGTCCTAACTAACTGAGAGCATCACTAGGTGGGGGAAGTTGGGAGCAATTTGCTCCACACCTAAAAGGCTCTTCCTTTTCATTGCCATCTCTCACTTCAACAGGACTTTCTCTGTTGTCACTTTTAATGTCACAATCCATTGTACACATCACTCTGTGGATTGTTGCCACAGCAAACACCACACAGAGTTCTATTTGGAAGTGAATTAACCAAGTAAAGGGACTGCGGGATGGGACAATCAAG